TGGCAAAAAATTATATAGAAATTTGTAAAAGGCTACTTTTTACAATTTTATTTTTTATTTTTCATCGTCGTAGGCCTTTTGCCATTCTAAGATTTTCAGTGGTAAAAATGTGTAGACTATACACAGAATGAAAAATGTTTTTACATTCATCAATTAAATGTATGTAACACGGCCTATCGCCTTTTCCTTTAAATTTTGCTGAACTTCAATAGTAGTGGCTTGTCTTGGACCTCCCTAGCAAAGCTAGCTATGGATTCCTGATCGAAAAAGAGTCTTGAGTCTTGGAGGACAATAGAGAATATAACAGTGTGTGGACATAATCGTTTGCCTTTACCACCAACCCTTCAAAGTTAAAGTACCAAACAATCATAAATAGCCCACTGCAGAGTAGTCACCTTGTGGTAAAATGTATTAATAATGCTTATTTAGACCTACTGGTAATGTTGATTGGTGAATTTAGACTTACTGTTACCTTCATTATAAGGCTCAAATATGGTTTGTGGCTCCAGATTTCTGAAGGGCTTTTTGGCCAAAATGGCTCCTTTGATAGTAAAGGTTGCCAACCCCTGGGTTAGGTTAGGCTAAAAATGTCAGGGTAAGCCAATCTGACACAGAGTAAGGCAGAGTACACAGGGTCATGCCTTTACCATCCTACGAAAAATAAATTTGTGCCCTGCGTGATTACTGTTAGCCCTGTTAGTACCATTAGCAGCATCAGCATGGCTAGATGAAGAGGGTGGAGGGTGGCCACCATGTTTCTGCAGCAACGTCATCCTGCCACCATGGGTCTGGACAGTGTAACCAGCTGTAATAGCCAAATGAGTAGCGGCTAGCTAACCAGTGGAGACTGGAGAGTGGGCGATTGGGCACCATGTTACCTCTTATTTACACGGTTAGCCGCCTGTCTTGTCAGCAAATCCAAAAGGAAAGGAAATAAGATGCAAGAAAGTTGCACCAAAAACATTAAAATTTCACAACCTCTAAATGGATAGCGCTTTGAAATGAAGTGCTAGCGCTCACTGAGCCAGTGGAGTGCTTGGCTAAAAGGAAAGGGCCTCTTGTTGGTGTGTCTTGAAGACATTTCACCCCTCACTGCAGTGTGCAACTCCACACCAGTCAGTTAAAATTGAAGAAGTCTCTTGAATGAAAGGTGAGACGTCTTCAAGACACTCAAGCAAGTCTAGTTGGCCTACGATATGGCACTTAGAAGAAGGGCCTCTTGTATTTTACATCATTTGGTGTTTTTTTCATTTGTCCATTTACTCATCTATTTATTTTTATTCAAAAGGGACCATTATTGTCACCATTTGATACTCCATACCAGATTATAGCTTTGAGATGCTATAATTCACATCTGTAGTCTACTCACTGCAGCATATCACAAGTGCATGTTTGTCAAATAAAAGCAAGTCATGAAAACCATAAAATGGACTTCAGGGTCAGTGAGTCCAGAACTGACTAGCTTTTAACAGACTTTTTAAAGCTGGTGCAGCTCCTCACATCATCAGACAGGGCGTTCCACTGATTTGTGGCTTTTGCAGAAAAAGCTGATTGCCCAAATATAGTGTGGTGAAATAATATGGTTAAATCTCATATAGAGGATATTCTTGAGAGTTCATGTTCTTCGTCTGGGTCCCTTGCGGCCTGACATGAATGAAGGATGTCTGTCATTTACTTGCCATTGTGCCTCTGAGACCCTTTTGTGTTAAATAAAAAGGGACATCTTGTTTACCTAATTAGCAGACTGTTTGACCTCACATTCCTCACGGCTGTTAACTTAAGGTTAAAAGTGCAAAACAAACCACTATTCAAATCATTTTGTCGCTCTAAGTGGCTCTCATCCATATATCTTTGTGGATTCCTGGAAGGCTGCTGGTGCTGGTATGTTGGAATTTTTAGTGCGACACCAGATATGTTCCCTCAGTGCCATTCCCCAGGGCAGCAGAGTGAGACCACGCAGCTCTTTGTAGACCAGTGATTTGTCTGGCACTGCTGTCACAGTGAGTGTAAAGAGCGAATGGGTCTCTGAGGGGCTGACAGACATGGCTTTATTTATGAAAGTCCTTGTAAGGCAGGGTGTAATCTGCCTGAACAATCCTATATATCTTGTATAGCCTTAGTTTGGAAAAAGGCCTGAGGCAGCCTGAGACATGTTCATCGTGGTTACATCTTAAGGATTAATGTTTAAGAGCTCCTATTGTGATCTTTAGGCACCCTGCTGCTCATGGAGATCACTCCAACATGTATGGTCTTTAGTTAAGTGGATTTATCTCTTGCATGTTTGGCTTAATTCGTCTCAGCACCATCGCTTACATAATGACTGACATTTAAGGTGGAAATGATCTCAGTCAGTTCCCAGGTTAAAGTGTGATCAGTACACAACAGTGCCAGCTTGTGAGTGGTGACTCACTTTCTCCGAATATGATGAAGAGCTGTATTCATAATCCTCTGGAGGAGTTGTTAAAGCGTAGAGTTAATCAGCGAAACCCACCTGTGGACAGGACATGACGAATGCCACTTTACCTGCTCGCATGGAGTACAAATAAAAGACTCTCCTGTAATTTACTTCTAATGACGTGAAAAAAGCCAGTGGGTGAGCAGCACAACGTCTGGCACTGTAGGGCATCAAAGGGGAAAAAAAATCTTTTAAATAGGTTGGAATTTGTAGGAGCCCTTTGCAGCATTAAAAGGCAATGGCCCCGTAAGTGGTTTTTCTGCTTTTCAGGAATGCCATCAGTGGTCTGTTCACAGCATGTTCAGGTTTTTCCTAAGTGCCCGCAGTAAAATGATTTGGTTTGGTTGCTGCAGATGGTTGCCTTCTGGGTCCTCTAATCTTGAAACGTTGTAGAACAAACACAGAGCGGCTGTGAGTGTGTGGGCACCTGAGCATTACACCCTTAACTGATTGCTGAACATGTCATTTCAAAACCATGGGCATTAATCTGCGGCATTAGCAGTCTCCACTCTTCTGGGAAGGCTTTCCACAAGATTTTTTTTTAACCTGGCTGCGGGGATTTGTTCCCATTCAGACACAAGAGCCAACACTGATGTTGGGTGATAAGGTTTGGATCACAGATGTTGTTCCAGTTCATCTCAGTGTGGTTGGATGGGCTCAGTTTAAGGCTGTTTGTGCAGGGAACCTGGCTTTGTGTACAGAGTTATTGTTATGTTGAGACAGGAAAGGGTTTTCCCCAAACTGCTGCCACAATGCTGGAAGCACACCCACCTATATTATCATCGCTTGCTGTGGCATTGAAATTTCCCTTCTTATTAGGGTCTGTCCTAGGGCAACAAATCAAAGTTATTGAAACCCTTCATTATGGCTCTGATGAGGCCTCTGTTACATTAATTAGATGTAAGATAAAGTTCTGTTTCTTTACTTCCACTCCCTTTGTAATGAAAATTAATTTGTATCACTTAGATGTCTCACAAATCTTTGCCTTGAGCATGAAAAATCGAGCTAACCCAAACCCTTAAGTGCAATTATATTAACATAAATCACGTTTGTAAAGAGACCATTTGTAGCACACAATCATTAAAGGTAAAGCAGATAACTTTTGTAGCAAATGTAACAAGCATTTATGGACATTTATAACTGTCACTATCCTTTCAGAACTAAATGAGGCAGATAAATGAGCAGATCCTCCGCTGCCTTCTCATAGTGCTCCTAATGGCATTTGCAAAAAACACAAAAACATCAGTTAGAGCTGAAAAGCTTTTAACACAGCGGTCAATCACTTCGACTACTGCTCGTGATCTTCGGTCAAACTGTCAAACTAGGCAGCATTGATCAAATATGAATGAAGATTCTGTTACTGTATTGCTGGTTTCTTTTCAGCAACATATTTAGTGAAGTAATCAGCTGTAAAGCCCAGTTCAGACCAATTATTTGCGACGAGACAAAACCATTTTAGAACGTTGCTTCGGTGTGAACTAGTCTGAGCTCGACCCAAGCCGGCTGATGGTGTCCCCTGTAACTCCCTTGTCACATCGCCAGCGGCTGGCTTTAGGACGTAAAGCACGTCACCTGTTGCGACAGCCAATAGGCTTGTAGTGAAGTCCACTGGTCAAGGCAAAATGTCCGCAGACTGCGTGTTCGCTTGCTGTGGCAGGTGCTCCGTCCCTGCCGAGTCCTCTGTTTACTTCCTCATGGTGTTCGACAGTGGGTCGCTGCTGCTGCTTGCTATATGTGCTTATGCCCCCACACACATTCTCATTGACTGATTAATTGGCCCCGTTTTTGTTGTTGTTGTTGTTGTTGTTGTTGTTGTTGTTGTTGTTGTTGCCCGTTTTGTTAATGGTTTTTGCTGTTTCATCACTACTACAAATGGAGCTGTAGCCAGTATCTCACTATCCTCATTCATATTTTAAGAAGCTACAAATTAAATTCAGCCACAAAATAAGCCTGAAAAGCTCAAAATCAGAATGGAAGTACAGAGAGTTGTTGCATAGAGATGATACACCATCTCATCGAGTTGCATTGGTGTGAACCAGCAGGGTTTTAGAATGTTGCAGAACGACACATTGCAGGTAGTTGCTTGTTTCAACTCATCTTGTTGCAAATCTTTGGTCTGAACTGGGCTTAAATTGAGAAAGTTTGCTCCACTGGTGAGTGGTGCTTTGTTGTGGCGGGATTGTTTTTAACATGGTGGCTGAGTCACAAACGTTCTCATTTCACAGCTGAACAGTACAGAGCCAAGCAGAGGTGCAAACGTCTAGTGTTCTGTCACACCACTGGAATTACAATATGCTCAAAGTTGATCTTGATCCTTTTCCCCAATGGCTACAATATGAAACTGCCGACCCCAGCTTGACATCCTGTTGGTGAATCGGGAGTGGGCTCTTATACATGCTATGTAGCACATTCTGCTCTAACATTGTAGCACAATATTATCTGTGCTTGTGTTGATGTTAACGTCTGCATGATGGTTTCATGTAACAAAGCTTCTTCATATCTTAAGCTGTTTTGTCTTGAACTCTCTCACTACAGATGAGTTGGACATCCTGCAGGAGCTTTCTCTTCAGATGTCCAACAGCAGTAACGCCTCCATGACTAGGGATGACAGCAGGTGCCCAGTCCTACAAGTGGGACAGTACTCCACCTTGGCTCTCCCTCTTCGATATCTCCTCTCAGACGGGTATGGTTTCATCTGCATCTCCATATAGTAACTCTTTAGTAATAGTGCCTACTACGTTTATGTGAAGGTAAAAGCTGGTGGTAACATTTTCACTGGGTGAAATCTTACTGGTGGTATCCTTTATGTTTTGAGTAGTTAATATATGGCTAAATGGTGTGTGTCAATGTTTGTGTTCAGCTTTGCAGATGAGTTCAGTTTACTGGTGCAGCTGCGGAGTTCTCAGAAAGTTGAATGCAGTGTCTTCACCATGCTCGGCCCCGACAACCACATTATGCTGCAGCTGCGGATCAGCGCTTACGCCATCATCTTCATAGGAACACAGCAGCGACACTATGAGTAAGCCCACTTCTATTTGTTTTTTACCTTCTCTTTTCCAGAGCCAAATTAATAAAAATCAAGCTATGTATATATTGAGTGTTGCAAGTACATGCAAATGACCCTCATGCATTACCTGTTATCAAAAAAATCCAGACGTCAGAAGGTGATTACAACATCCATCACAGGTAATTGAGGACCACTCATGCCCATTCCTGCTTCTTGGCTTTAGTGTGCGTCTGTGCGACAGAGGAAAGCTCTGTGGAAGTGTATTTGTTTGCAGCATGTGTAAATTTGTTTGACTGGGAATTGCGCTTGGCTCTCTCTCTGGTTAAATGATTTATTAGGCGTCCTTTGGCAGGTCTCTCATCTTCGTGAACTGCAGAGCTTGAAGCAATTCATCATTGCAAGACAGCAGACAAAACTTGGCCAAAAGATAGACACACATAGATACTATACTTATCTTGTACTGTTGGCACATGGTGGGTTTACCTTGTTGTTGTTTTAAAGCAGCATGTCTGTTGGTGGCCTGGTCTAGAGCCCAGCTGACCTCCAGAGGACGATAGTGGGTCTTTTAGACATTGAAGCTCCACTGATGAATGTTTCATGAATTAAAGGGCAACATCTTGGGGAGCACTACTGCAAATGTGGAAAAAATGTATAAAACTTTTTGTGGCTCCAGAGGGAGCTGCACAAACTCTAGTAAATTAAGAAATAAAAATAATAAAATTGATGAGTAATGAAGTGAAGACTAAGGGCCTCTCCCAATACCTGCACTTCCCCTAGAAATACTCACTTGCACTTGGTTGTGCGCGTTCACGTTTAGGCTAGTAGTGTCCCAAAACAGAATTGAGGTAGTGGAAGTGGTTTCCAACACTTAAAACCCGCCCTAGATTCCAAGGGAGCCCCAACCCACACTTTCAACGAAGTGGAAGATAAAATTTCCCAGAACACCTTGCGAAGTCAGCAACTTCGGCAAATTGGAAAACAATTTGTTACTGTACGATCGGAATGTAGGCTATACAAACAACAGATGGTTAGAATAGCGTAAACGTTGATTCATCAGATGGAGAAGACTAAACATAGCACACGCCACAACACAAGCGCTGGAGCTGGCATTTTCAAACCTCACTGACTACCAGTATCTTGCGTAGCTACTACGCGTGACGTATGCCTGCACGTCGGCCACACCGATTTGCATGAAGTGGTGTCCCATTTCTTAGGGAAATACCTCTACCCTAATATTTCTCACTTCCCTCATCAAGGATTATCTCACAGATGAGGACACTCAATACCAAGTAGAAGATTTAAGGGGTAGAAATGGGACTGGGCTTAAAAGTCTGAAACTGAAAAAAAATCTGTAGAGTTAGAAAGAAGTGAGCTTGCTACACCTTTGTAGCCCACTCCTCATCTCTGCTGCAGGCAAGAGGCTCAAGGCTACATTAGCCACCGTTAGCATAACACACCCAAATCACTGCTGCGTTCCAGACAACTCAGAACTCGAAAATTTCCAACTTCTACTAGGAAAAGTACATTGGAGTGCCACTCAAAGTCAGAGTTCTTACATGTAAACTTTGGGTTTATCCATCTACAGCAGCTTCACAAAAAAGCAGTTGTCTGACATCACACAACAATGGCAGCACCCGCGGAAACCACATTGTAAATAGCAAACCACCAACTAAAAGGCAGTTTAAAGCAGTGGTTCCCAACTGGTCCAGCCATGGGGTCCAGATTTATCCTTAGTCATTAGTTCAAGGTCCACACAGTTCAATATATAAAGTGTTATACTTGTCTTTGGCCATGTTGTCGAGCTAGTTTGCCGCCTCTGTCAAGTCGCTGTCCGTTACTATGTTTGTGAGTCATTTGTGGTCCATTCAGAATGGGAATGAAATGTAGAATGGTGTCCGTTGCCTTATGCGTCTGTTTTGTTTATTTATTCTATGACGCTGCACTGCTGAGAGTGCAAATTTGTCAAAGAAACATCCTTTTGTCGCAGTCAGCCAAGGTTTTTGTTTACATTTGGCATCATACACCTGGAGCGCTTGGAGGTAGGAAGTTGGAAATATAAACTGGGAAAGTGCGACCTCCAGCTGTGACTGGAATGCAGCATCAGAGAATAACAAAGACAATATATCTGGTTCTGCTGCATTGATTTGTAATAGTTTTTATTTTAAAAAATGTGCTCCAACAGTATTGTAGGAGTGTGATGCTACAGTGGTGAAGTACACTTTTAACAACAGATGGAATGATGACTGTTTGTAGTTACTCCCACAGTAACTCTTCAGCTCCACAAAAATGTTGAGCCTCTTTTAGCTCTTTGTTTTGTTTTCACAGCACATTTACTGTATACTGTAGTTTCAGGATTCTGTCTTGAACCTCGTTTCCTATTTTAATCAAACAAACTCTGATAAACACATTGTAAATTACAGGGTTCAACATTGATGTTTTTTTTTTTTTTTTCACTCGACCAGTTGTGCAAGTGGGTCAGGAATCTGTTTGCCCAAAGGCAATTCTTACTTGCCCCGTACAAATTTGTCAGCGTTTTTTGATGAGGTAATCAGTTTTGCAATTACCTGACTTGGCTCAGCGTTCCTGTTTCATACAAGCACCAGCAAGGCCCTGGAGGAGGGGCTGTCAGCAGCCCTCCTATCTGCTATGCAAGCAAGATGCTTTTGTTATGGCACTCCAGCAATGTTTTTTCAAACCTTGAGGTTTATCGTATCCACCTTGCTCTCCAACTTTCCACAAACTGCACAGTACATAGTTGGAGTTCCCCACACATCCTCGAACACCACCCAACTAAACTCCTCTGTCCAGGATAGTTGACATGCTCACTGGCATTTCAGCTCTTTTGTCCTTACCCGCTGCCATTTTCTTGTGAGTGTCTGATCGATACTGAGCATGTGCAACTTTGAACAGAGGTGAGAACAAAGTGAGATGGCTCACTCTCTAGCTACTTCCATCATCAGCTCTGGTAAAAAAAAAAAAAAAAAAGATGTGTTTGATTGTTTTTCAACACTTGCCTAATTGGTGAAGTGAATTGCTAGATTTTCAAGCCCGGTGTGGCTCCAGGTAATCGGGCAGTCCCTGTTGTTGAGCCCTGCACTAACTGCCAGTGGAGCTGTTGGAGATGAAAACAGAGCTAAAAGGATAGTGAATAGTTATCAAGTGGACACAAGCACGACTCCAACGGGATGATAATGTTGCTCTTTGTCTGCTGTATGTGTAAATAGGCTACTGTTAGTTAACACAGTAGCCATAAATACTTTATAAGGTAGTATTATATCAGAGGTGTGTGTGTGTGTGAGCTTGTTGAGGAATTCTTCTGCACCCTAACTAATGGAGCTTTAATGTTAAATTAATGTTATTGTCCACTTCTGTGATGTATTTTTTATTTTATTTTGCCATGCTAAAGGACAATAGATCAGCAGTGTTTGTATACATAGATTTATACAAATGCCACCCACCAGCACTCAAAGTTAAGGGAAATAAAAAAGGGTTGAACTTTAACCAACATCTGTATTTTAACAGTCCGAGGGCCCACACCTGATTTGAACTTATCTCCTAGATTAATTCACGCAGACATTCATCTCAAGGCAAACAAAACCAAGAACATGTGATTACATAATGACCCATGTGTCTTTTTGTCAGGTTCCCAGTCAGCGGTCTCTCTGATGGAAAATGGCACCATGTGGCCATCAGTGTGTCTGCCAAACGGCTGGCGCTGTATGTGGACTGCTCCCTGCTGGAGAGTGTGGAGTGGGTGTACCACGGCATGGGGATTAGCACTGACGGGCTGCTCATGGTTGGAGGCATCATCGAGGGCTTTGAGACTCCATTTGAAGTAAGTGGCTCCTATCCAGTTTGATCTTCATGTCCAGCTTTGCAACTTTCATTTTCCCACTGATCATAAAATGTAAAATGAAAACACACAAAAGCAACCCCACCTATAATCATCAACCCCACACCCTATTCTGCTTGTCTGCCCATGCTTTTTTCTAAACATTGACAAGATGCCCAGAAGCTGAAGTCATTAAGTTTTATTCTGCCAACCTCAGGTCAAACTCAGCTGACTTGACGGTGAACTTAGGAGTGTCTGAACGGCCCTTGTTGGATTTTAAAATCTCTACTTTTAGACTTTTGGAATGCAGCTATATTGCATGTGTGTGCAATAACACATATTATATGACCAGATGGTTGTGCAAAAGCCAGATGATATTTAAAACAACTGTTGCCTGGTAATAAGCCACATGCGTACAGTCCTGTTCATTTGAATTTAGTCTGAAAAGACATGCTCATCCTTGCAGCACATACAAACACACACACACACACACACAGGGGAGAACACACAAGTTGATATTCCAGCCCCGTGGCCCTATCCTACCCTGTTCCCTTTTCATCACAAACACAAAGACATGTAGCACATAATGCTTAGAAACCATGTGTTTGTTTTTATAAAGTATGCATAGAAATCGCTGCAACCTGCTCCAACCACAACCTCAATTACCTCCCAAGCACCAGTGTTACATAAAATTACAGAGGAAACACTGATGAGTGTTTGGACAGAGGATGAGTTCAGCATCCTCGACCCACCCCCTGTTCTTCAGTCGACATGAAGACATCACACTTCACTTCAATTTTAAGTTACAGCTATGGAGATTGCCGCGTTGCACTGCCATGTTTCTACAGTAGCAGAATGGACAAACCAAACACTAGCTCTAGAAAGGGCCACTTGCATTTTTGTGTCAGCCACCCTTCGTGACAAGTGCATCGGAAAAACGCTGATTTTTTTTTTTTTTTTTTTTAACGTGAAACTGCTTTCTTTAGTGTTTTTACCAGTTTAAATCACTGGGGTCCATTTGTTTTGGAGGGGAGGAGACCCTCTGTGGATAATTCAGCTCCTGGTAAAAGCCTCCTTGTTTTTTAGTACATGAAAAACTTTTTTTTTTTTGAGGTGGGGGGGCGGGGGGTGATACTAATTGTTGACTACTTGTGATAGACTGTGTTACCTTCTCCAGTCTGGCGCTCCGAACCGTAGTTGGGAGACACTGGTTTTCTGTAGATTATCTTTACAACTTGGCTCGTTGCTGGTAACTAGCTCTAGGAGTCCGGACCAACTCTGCTTGAAGAATGAGGATGCAGAACTGACATCCGTGCAGAAGCACATTTATTTCTCCTCTACAGCAGGAGAACATAACATAACATAACGCAGGGCCTTCTCACAGAGACTATGCTGTAACTGGAGCCTCTAAACACTGTAAACAGACTGCAACCAACCGTAGCATGAACAGTACTATTTTCAAGGTGCATTCAAGTCCATACACTCTATACGCCGCTTTACTTCCCACAACATCTACTACATCACACCCACACAGCAACCGTCTTAAAGCAAAGGGCTGGCCGGTAACAACTGTGAATATGACAAGAAATGGTGTGAGACCGGGTTTGGCAACAGGTCAGTAGCCTACGTGCTCTGTTCTATTAACGTTGGTTAAATGGCCCGTGCGGTTGGTATTCGGATAACTGGGGCTTTACTGGTATAATGCAATAGCACCACCCAGCGGGTGTACACATGTACATGTTTACACGAAAAAAATTACCCACTCTAAACATTAAGAGATTTTCGTACACGAACTCACCCCTAGTGTACACCACTTCCCACTCAAAAGTGGTGATCCCTAAGAAAAGACTTGATGGGAGAAACCATGCTTACAAGCCTATTGGAGACAGGAAATTGGCGACGCAATTGGTGAGGTAGAAGCCAGATTGTAGAAATTGTCAAATACTTTTTGCTGCATTTTTTGCTATTGTCTGTACGTACATTATTAGTATGGATCCTGCGCATGGTTTTATAAATGAGGCCCCTGGACAGTTGGTTTTGGAGAGAAAGAGACCTCTGCAGATGATTTGGCTCCAGCTAAAAACCTAAACAGTTAAGACTGGAGGAAATCTTAGAGTTTCAGCTTGTTGCAATTTGCAACCCTCACCTCTAGATGCCACAGAAAACCCCTAAACCTTACACACTGTTTCTTTAACGTTCACAAAACCTGCATGTCTTTGGGCTATGCGAAAATACGCACAAGGAGAACATGTAAAATCCAAAGTACAAACCATGTAAAGTTTTGGGTAAAGTCAGTATGTATATGTAAATGTACAGTTCAGTTTTAATTACATGTATTTTTCAGCACATTCCAGGCACCTTTTGGTTTTTATTAATTTCTATATGGTGTGAAAGTCTGTTGACAGACTTGAGCTGTGTAATCAGTCACAGAGAACACCAAATCTGCATTCATTCATGCCAAAGCTTCATTACTCTTGCGTGGTAATGCAGGTTAAATGCTGATTAATTTAAAAAGCATGCAATGTATTACTTTGTATGGTCCTTTAAGTTTTCATCTCAAGGGCAAAAACTGAAACACTAACATTAAAGGCTGATTTTTAAGGCCCATAATGCACCTGGCTTTGCGCTGTGCACATGTTGTCCCAGTTATAACAAGCCTGAGGACCGGAGCAGGCAGTGTGACTGTGTAACAATGGGGGTGAGGGGGAGCGTTATAGAGGCGGCATCTGGATTTGTTCTTAGCACCAGATAAAATGGATTCTCCGTTGCCTGTTTTCCCTGGTGACAGCTTTTTACTGAGCTCCAAGGACGGAGCACTTCCACAGTCAGAGGTGGTGACAGTGTGGTCTCTGGACTGTCTTTTGTGTTAGGTAACGCTAAAGCATACCTTACTGTACTCAGCTTTTATCTATAACTCTTACTGTCATCCACTCCACTGCAGCACGACCAGGACACACTCTGCATCACTTTAATGGACTCGTTTTAAGACCAAAGTAGGACATAAATATTAATATGATTGTCATAGCTGAATGAAGGTTGTATGTTTTGGGCATCTGTGTTTGCTTTCTTACATAAGTCATGATCAGTCGCCTATAAAGTAGTAGAAAGTCTTTTCCTATATGAAGATACGCAGCAGATGTCTGTGTTTAGCAGACATATGTGTAGTTTGATCTCTCCCTATTTTTAGGGTATGATGGGAATATTTCTGGCAGAGGTTCCAGAGGTTTGTTATTCTTTATGTAGAAAACATGAGCATCTCTGAAACTATATCTTTCTACACACAACAATGAATTTCTGCGTTCAATTAAAAAACAGCTCAGATCGATTTCCTTGAAATATGCACGTCTCTTTCCCTTTGTCTTGGGATTTCATTTGAGAATGTGGATCAAATAGCTTGTTAAAATGAGTTTTCTATTTCTCCCTAATGGGCCCTTTGTGCATATTACCTGTATGATATGCACCAGCAGTCTTAAATTTGGTGTAACGAGGAGAAATCTGCATTTTAATATCACAGATATAATTGATTTTATATCTGTGTGGTTTCCCAAGGAAATTCAAGCTGCACGCACACACACACACACACACACACACACACACACACACACACACACACACATACACATACACACAAAGACATGCTTTCTCACCCACTGTCATACTCTCATAAACATAGCCTGAGGACAGGGGTTTTTAAATATGTGCTGGTGCTTTGTTTGTCGTGTTTGGCTCGATGTTAGTCGCTGGTAAAGTAAGGATCCCTGGGAACTGCAGTGAAATACACGACCTTCAGTAACCTCCTGAATTGTGAGTGTAGGTGTCAAGGCTTGTTCTTCCATTCCTTGTATATACTATGTTCATGCATTAAAAAGTTATGACATGTTCTGTATGAACTGTTGACAGAGTAATACAGATGTATCTGACAGCTTTGGCTCTAAAGAGTCATTCTGATTCAGTATGTTTGCATCAGCCTATTATTTTCTTGAGTTGTAGGCTGGTCTGTAAAATGTCACAAAAGGGGGAAAAAGGTCTCTCTAGTTCTCTAGATCTCTAGTTCCCACACCCTGATGTGATGTCTTCAGATTGCCCAACCACCAGTCCTAAACCCAAACATATTCAGTTTACTGTCATAGACTATGAAATCCCTTCTCAACAATCAAAAATTTCCGTAGGCATTATGCCAGTTGATGAAGTAGGCGGTGGTTAGCATTGTCGCCTCACGGCAAGAGGATTCCCAGTTTCAGGGTGGTGGGTTCTGACCCAGGGTGGGGGAGCCCTTCTGTGCAAAGTTTGCATGCCATTAGGGTGACCGGAAAATTCAGGACAGACCCGAAATCCAAGCAGTTTTCCCGAATCCCGAATCCTGCCCTACTTGTCCCAAAAATCACAGTAGAGCAGAATCTGGAGTAGTTATTGCCTGATAAAACATTAAAAACTGGTCATGGTGGTTGAGTCGTCCTGCAGCTCCCGCCGGCTGCACATTGGCTGCAGCAGTTCCTACATGAATTATGGGTGTTGTAGTTTTTAAATTGTGTACACCAGTGGGGTTGAAGTAGATGAAGAGAGCGCAAACTGCAGCCGCGAGGAAAGGGAAAGTGCAAGCAGCCACGAGAAGGAGTGCAGTGCAGCCTCTTGTACAAACTTGTTCTACAAACTGATAAGCCTGTAACAAATGTGCCAGGCTTTTGTTTTGTTAGCTTTTATTTTTCACTGAATTTAAAGGACAAGTGCACTTACATAGATCACTTCCACAAAATAAAATGAGAAATTGGAAAAAAGGAAAAGATTGAAAAAAAAAATGTTAAAATTAAATTAGGGAACTGATCACAGATGTATTGTCTCAGTGTGTTTTTACATCTATTGTTGCTTAAATTTGCAGCTATGCTTTTAATGAAGCTGACATGTCATGACAGTCAAGAAAGTCAGGCAAACTTGCCATAGTATATCTTTAACTGATCTTTTGTAATGTAATACAAAGCCAAATGTTCAGGGTGTGCAAACCCCTCAAGACCCTCAAGTCTCACAAGTGTAGTCTCTCCAAAATGAAGTTGTACATCAAGAGACATTTAAGTTTTTTTCATTTTCCTCATGAAGGATTCATAATTCATAATTGAATTCATAATTGATGCCTCCATCTCCGCAGGGTCATCTCCGACAGCTGACCTTCCTGATGGACGACCCAGACGCCGCCCAGAAACACTGCAGCCACCACCCACCCCGCTGTGGTGAGATCGCCCCCAAGCCTCCTCGCTCCTCACGCACTGACAATGCCCTGGAGGTGAGAGAAGAAAAAGATGCGGAAAATTCATGTCATTTTCACAAGTGAAATTAACTCTTTGGCTTATGTAAACAGCGTGGCTCTGACATGTCACTGAGGTGTTTGAGGTGAAGCCAGATGCAGCAGACATTCAGACTCCTGCAGTTAATACTCTGACAGCAGAACCTGTTATATACTGTGAAGCATGATAAAAGATCATCAGAGGATTTGAAATAAAAATTTCACTGACTCCTGTGGTTTTGATCCAGTCTGGTGAATTTAACAACGCTGGGTGTTTGGTTAGTCATCGGTTGAGCTCTGCACTGTCTTTGTTTGTGCTTTTTAAATTTAGAAATTGTCCCTTCTGTTTCCACACAGAATTTACTGCTGTCCTCAAATGACCTGGAAGACCTGCTGGGGGATCCCAAGGACAAGACATTTTTAAGCTTCAGCAGAACCGTGAGTAGGATGTTTGGTGCCTGCAGGGCTCTTTAAGGCCGCGCTGAACATTCCCTGTTCATTTAGGTGTTAAAAACAAACAGAAAAAAACACGCAGTTGCCTCGTTTCACAGCTGTGCCCCGGTGTTGTAGTTGGAGAGTGTGGGCAGCTGACCAGTCGTCATGGTAATTAGATCCAGCTGTGGACAGACAGGCAGCTATAGTCGTATATACCAACCGCTGGTCTGGTTTCACTGGCTTCATCAGTCTTCGTCTGTAAAACCACCAGTCCAGTGTCTGTCATTAATTAGCGCTGTGGTGCAGGGCCCCGGGCGTCAGAGGCACCAACCAGCCGTCCCACCTCTTGTCCTTGGCTGACTGGTCAACTTTGCATATGTGCGAGTGTGTGAGTGTGAGTGCCTGACCTGTCTGTCCTCTGGCCCATCAGTCTCTGTCTGCTCGCTGGTCTTTGTTGTGGCCTGGAAAAAGGCTAATCTGGGTGCTGGAGCTGAACGTCTGTTGTGATTAATTATAGCGAGGGCACATGTGTTATGTTTTTTATTTAAAAAACAATCAGGGAATTTATTGGTGATGTTTGTATGAATACTAAAACAATGGGTAAGTCAGTAAAAAACAACAAACAAAGCAAATAATGGATTTCAACTTTTGTAACTCAACCACTGTGTAATTTTACTTTTTGGTTCAATTATTCACGGTGTATGATTCAGTTCATCTGTATTTCTTTATTCTAGTGTTTCTTTTCTTCATGTTGCATAAACGTTCTTTTTTCCTGAGCTCTTTTTTTCTGCAAGAAAACCTTTAATCCATGATGAGCATCAACTTTTACAGAGTCTTTTACATCAGAGAACAGGGCCAGGACCACAAAGTCCAATTAGTTTGATCATTGTGGACACTGGGTACTGTACCCAGGCACAGTTTATCAATCTACATCAGGTGTGAAAACCACCTGTAATAAAATACAGATATGAAATGCTATTTAATGCAATTAAGAGCCCACCAGAAGGGTTGCAAAGGCATCTCTCAAAGCTGTCCGTCTCTTCCAAAATCTGCAGATGTGTGCAGCACATGCCAGTCTCATGTCTCATCCTCTGAATTGCACAGCCAGAGGTGATAAATTAAGAAAGTATTTGATAGAGTCATTCTTGACATTGTCTCCAGAATATAAACAACAGTAAGAATAAATGCAAAGGTGGAGTCCCTTGTATTGGGTTGGGATTTTGTGGTTGACTCGCTTTTCTACACCGTAATATGAACAAATGTCACGCAGATGATGACGCAAGTGTACTAATGTGCAGAACAACATTACTGATGTGAAAGCTGAACAGTGGGGGAGTGGAGAGGAGAGCATGGTATGAATCAGTAGTACCAATTCCCTTAACGTTGGGGGGGCATTTGGGACAAAAAAATATGTATTACTCAAAAAGTCAATTAACGGAAAACTAATCAGCAGCCATTATAATGCTAAAAATGCCAAATATTTCCTGGTTCCCTCTTCTTAAATGTAAAGATTTTATGCTCCTCTCTTTTTTTAATATCTTTAAGTTTTGGACCATTGGTCAGTCAAAACAAGACCTTTAAAGCCGTGACTGAGCTATGTGTAGACTAAACAATTAATAGAAAAGTGGATAAAATAACCAGCAGATCAATGGGTAATGAAAGCAACTGTTAGTTTTGGCCCTAACCAGAATGATACTAAAACAATCAGCCTTAAGGCTCACAAATGGTGAGCTGGATGGAGCTGCTCCCTCCTTTCATTTTCTGTGAAAAGTGGTGAGTCTCTCTAATAGCCAGTGGCATATATATTTCAGTAATTTACTTTACATTGGTCATGAGAGGCTGCTGATTCTACACTAACTTAACTTTTTAAACCTAAACAGCAAAGACAGTGGAAGGAGCAGTAACCTGCATGTGAACTGACAGCAGGATTGATCTGCCCACAGGTAACCAAGTCGAGGGTGTGTCAGTCATTCTTGGCAGGCTTGCTGTGTTCTGTTTGAGATCCCATTAGCCAGGCACTTGAACTCTGGTGTGCATCTTTAGCGCAGTAGTGCATTGTCAGCAGTGACGTACGGTTGCAAAAATGGGTGCAACCAAAAAGTCCATGTAAAGCTGGCCAAACACTACATGCTACTGCTAGAATCGGGCCAGATTGCCTGTCATCTGAGGTTTAGTTTGAGGGGAGTCAGAGAGCTAATAGGTTAGCACTAGGGCTGTATTCAACCAAAGAAAACCTTGGTCATCTGAAATGCAACCCACTGTTCAACCATTTGATTGGTTGATGGCTGAAATAGCTCTGCATGTTATGTGTAGATTATCTAAATCAGCCACAGTGTACTGAGTGCACTCTACCTGGAAGCGCTGTCCACCAAAGCATTTTTTTCCCCTGTCACAGGGTTCAACATCAACACTTGCCAAGTGGACTCTGTGTTCAGGCAAGTGGAATGCCTTCAGTGAAAAATAAAACTGAACTGTGTCATTGCACTTTATCACTTTCCCACCTGAACTCACCACTAAACACTGAACAAGACTAATGAGAAAAATCTGACAAACTGGACAGTATCGACGTTAACTTCTGGGTTGATGATGTCATAATCAATATAATGTTACTGATGTAAAGAGAGACTAGTTTTTGCCCAGAAGCTAACGTTAGCCATCCTGCAACTCCAACAAGGGCTACGGTGCAACCAACCATCACAGAGGTGCTGAGCAACAACAGCCATTTCCTGCAGGGAAAATAAAGGCTTTGATGGACACACGGTCAAACACCAGCGAATGTAGGAGCACTTAGAATTTGGTTGGATAGTAGCATAATGACCAACCAATCGAGCACCTGACCAGAAGTGTACAGCCTGAGTTATCACTTAGGATTTCCCCTTAATTTTAAATACTGCTCCCCAACATGCTGTCTGAAAAAGACATATATCACATTAAGTTTATTTACTTTATTAATCCCCCTGAGGGGAAATTCAATGTTTTCACTCTTGCTTGTCAATTACACACAGGTCCGAAAGACACACACACATGCACAAACAGGACCTATACATGCACAAAGTGGAGAGATGTCAGAGTGAGGGGGCTGCCCTTGGTGAGGCGCTCCGAGCGGTTGGGGGGTTCGATGCCTTGCTCAAGGGCACCTCGGCAGTGCCCAGGAGGTGAACTGGCACCTCTCCAGCCACCAGTCCACGCTCCATATTTTGGTCCGGACAGGGACTCAAACAGGCGACCCTCCGGTTCCCAACCCAAGTCCCTATGGACTGAGCTACTGAGCTAAGGAAGTAATGATAACATTTCATTCAATATTTAAAACTTGTGGTGGCGGTGATGAATATTTTAAAAGTGATTAGTCCATCTAAATCCCTAATGAGCTGCCTTTTTACATTCAGAAATCTGTTTTGTTATGACTACACGCACATTGTAGTTTAATCTTCCAGACCAAACTAAATACTGTTCCTGAAATACATGCAGCTGTTTACATTGGCACATCCAGAATAAACCGTGTTTCTGAAATCCGCACGTTCAAAATGGAAACAAATCAAAGACCATGTGTTTGGAAAGAAAGGAAAAGCAAAGCTGGTTTGAATTTACATTTTCATGTCCATGCAAAATACCTGAAACAATCAGCGAGGATCTGGTTCTCTTTACAGTATACAGTAGTGTCGTAAATGGAGAGCACAGCAGACCGGCATGCCGTGTCGTGCCAGCTCCACCAAGCACAGAGTTTCTGCATCAGGATGGCATTGGGATGCCTCTGTGATGATGTCAACAAAAAAGGCCGCTCCTGCTGTTTTCAGTTGTAGAGAATGTTTGCAGGAACAAGCTGCACCAGATCTATCTTAATAGTTAGTGAAATATCTTCAGCTGGCTGCATCTCTTTCTCATTATCTGTCTTTCTCCATTCATCTGGTTCTGTTTTTCTGGTTTTTATTGTGTCTGAATATGTCTCCTCTGGCTGTCTCTGTGTCTGTCTGTCCCTGTGTCTTTGTCTCTGTCTGTTCAACCAGCTGTTTCCTCCTTTATCTCTGTCTTTATGCTAAGCTAAGCTAACCAGCTACATATTCACCATGCATATCTAGTATAGTAGTTGTATCAAGTGTATTTCCCAGAATAAGTAAAAAATATCATTTATTGTTTCCAGCTATTGAAATGTGAATGCTTGCTGCTTTTATTATGTCATGGTCTGTTGAATTTGTTTGGATTTTGGACTGCTGGTCGAACAAAACAAGCAATGCGAAGAGATTTATCTTGGCAACTTGTGCATTTTCTGACATTTATAGACTAAACGACAGTCAACAGGTCAAAAAAAATGTTAAAGGAATACTTCACCCCCAAAATGGCCTTTTGAATGTCAATATCTTTCCCTGTGTTACGTCCAATTTGTGAAGAAAACTTTTCTATCATGCCTCTCGTGAACGAAGAATCCAAAATCTGAGAAAAGTCATAGGGGTTTGAGTTTTAGAGCAGCAGCAGAACTATATCAAAATATCTGTTAACGAACTCATGCACAACTTGTGTAGAATAATCCAAGTCTCATTTATCTAGTCGCATGCTCAGTAATTCCCAAAAAGACAGTCAGAAAATGAAACTCATCTATTCTCTTCTCAAAGCCAAACTCCATTGACAAAAACGTAATTTTACTGCCCTGAACACAAGAACTGCCGCTCTACCGCTGCTTCGATCGGTAGTTTGTGTTGTCTGACCCTGGTGTTTGAAAGGGTTATTTTAGATACACCAAAGTCACACAATTACACAAACTAACTAACTGAGGAAGCAGTAGACCAGCAGCTCCCATATTCAGTGAGGTAAAAATGACTGTGTTTGTCAATGGAGTCTGGCTTTGAAGAGAGCATAGATACGTTTCCCTTTCTTTTCAGTTCCCGATGGAAAGTACTGAGCCTTCGACTGGTTAAATGAGACTTGGATTATACTGCAGCAGCTGGGCGAAAGTTTGTAAACAGATGTTTAGATATAGTTTTGCTGTTATTAAATGTGGACACCTAGAA